GAAGTGGGGCTCAGGAGGTGGTAACTTAGAACTTTTTTGTTTTCATTAGAAGCTTGTGAGTACCATTTGATTTTAGAATATGTATATATGTTGTTTGATGAAAATAAAAAATTGGCTGGGTGAAGTGGCTCACATAGCAAGGCTCTGCCTTAAAAATATAAAATAGGCCAAGCACAGTGGCTCATGCCTGTAACCCCAGCATTGTGAGAGGCTGAGGTGGGCGGATCACCTGAGGTCAGGAGTTCGAGAGCAGCCTGACCAATATGGCAAAACCCCATCTCTACTAAAAATACAAAAATTAGCCAGGCATCCTGTAATCCCAGCTACTTGGGTGGCTGAGGCAGGAGAATCGCTTGAACCTGGGAGGTGGAGGTTGTAGTGAGCTGAGATCGCACCACTGCACTCCAGCCTAGGTGACAGAGCAAGACTCTGTCTCAAAAATATAATAATAAAATAACAAAATAATAATTTTTAAAAAGATACATGGTGTATTCAGCTATCTATTTTGCTGACCCTCAGGGACAGGCCTGGCTGAGTTTCTTGCTGTACCTCCAAACCTCCACACCAACTGCTTGCAGCAGCTTTTTGCTCAGAATTTCAAGCTGTGCATTTATTTGATAGTGTTTGTATGAGGGGTTCTTCAAAAAGCTCATGAAAAGTGTGTATTATAGAAAAACTATACATGTGTTTCAAAATATTTTTCCACCAAAATAAAGTCACACTAACTTGTTATAACATGTATGAACAGGATCTAGTTTGAGGCCCAAGAAGCATAAGACATCAGTCTGACAAGTGCCCCTATCAGAGCAATATGAATTCTACTAAAATCGAAGCAAGAATATCAAATTGATGGTGAAGCTTGGGTGAAAGAATGGTGAAATCTTGATGCTTTATGAAAAGTTTATGAGGACAATGCCCTAAAGAAATCAGCAGTTTTACAAATAGAAAACTCATTTGAAAAAGGGATGAGATGATGTTGAAGATAAAGCCTGCAGCAGCAGACCATCCATATCAATTTGCAAGGAAAATATTTGTCTTGTTTGTGCCCTAATTGCAGAGGACCAGCAATTAACAGACAACACCATAGACATCTCAATTTGTTCAGCCTATACAATTCTGACTGAAAAACTAAAGTTGAGCAAACTTTCCAATCAATGGGTGCCAAAACTGTTAGGCCCAAATCACCTGCAGACAAAAGCAGGGCATTCAATGGAAATTTTAAACAAGTGAGATCAAGATCCCGAGGCACTTCTTTGAAGAGCTGTAACAGGAGATGAAAAATGGCTTTACCAGCACAATCCTGAAGATAAAGCAAAATAAAAGCAATGGCTACCAACAGGTGGAAGTGGTCCAGTCAAAGCAAAAGCAGACCAGTCAAGATCAAACAGCAAGGCAACAGTTTTGGGGATGCTCAAGGCATTTTGTTTGGCGACTTTCTGGAGAGCCAAAGAATAATAACAATGGCTTGTTAAGAGAGTGTTTTTAGAAAGTTAGCAAAAGCTTTAGCAGAAAAACACCCGAGAAAGCTTCACCAGAGAGTCCTTCTCCACCATAACAATACTACTGCTCATTCCTCTCATCAAACAAGGACAATTTTGGAATTGTTTCAGTGGGAAATCATTGAACATCCACCTTACAGTCCTGATCCTGACTTCTTTTTGTTTCCTAATCTTAAAAAAATCTAGGCCAGGCTCAGTGTTTCATGCCTGTAATCCCAGCACTTTGGGAGGCCAAAGCAGGTGGATCACTTGAGGTCAGGAGTTTGAGACCAGTCTGGCCATCATGGCAAAACCCCATCTCTACTAAAAATACAAAAATTAGCCGGGCATGGTGGCACATGCCTGTAATCCCAGCTACTCAGGAGGCTGAGACAGGAGAATCACTTGAACCCAGGAGGCGGAGGTTGCAGTGAACCAAGATCATGCCACTGCACTCCAGCTTGAGCAAGACAACAGAGCAAGACTGTCTCAAAAATAAATAAATAAATAAAATTTGTAAAGGGCACCCATTTTTATTCAGCTAATAATGTATTGGGAGGATTGCTTGAGCCTGGGAAGTCAAGGCTGCAGTGAGCTGTGGTTGCACCACTGCCCTCCAGCCTGAGTGACAGAGTGAGACCCTGTGGCAAAAAAAAAAAAAAAGTAAAAAAGACAGCATTGGCACGGTTAAATTCCAAGGACCCTCAGTTCTTTAGGTATGAACTAAATGGCTGGTATCATCATTTACAAAAGTGTCTTGAACTAAATGGAGCTCATTTTGAGAAATAAAGTTTATATTTTAAATTATTATCTTTTAATTCCATTTTTCCATGAACTTTTTGAAGTCCTCTCATATTTTAGGTCAGAGTTTCCCAGTACTTTTAGTACATGAAGAGCCTTCTTTCTTTACAGAGAGTGGGGATAACCAGTGGTAAAGAGCACAGCCCCTGGAGCCAGACTCTGGGTTCAGATTCCAGCTTTACCATTTACTATACGACCCAGCATGTGTCTTAACATCTCTGCCCCTCAGTTTCATTATCTGTAACATTATCTGTAACTCACTTACAATGAAAAGTAATAGTGCGAAACATATCTTTTTCCCGTAGACAAAACTATACAAGAAGCCATATTATCACAGGATGTTGCTTGTTAAACTTGGATCAGAACAAACAAGGATAGATTAAAAATTAATGACACACTTGTGAGGCTTTGTATCAGTAGTAAGTACAGTACTTACCTCATAGGAGTGTTAGGAAAATTAAACAAGATATTATTTTTTAAGTGCCTAGAGCAGTGCCCAGCATGTTAAAGAAATAAAATTTCATGAGAAAGTAGTGTCCTTTTTGAATCTACAGATTGAAAAAATATGTACCTAACACTCCAAATTACCATGAATTCAGTAATACTATATAAAATAATTCATATTTGTTTATCATGCTTGGATTCGTACAATTTGTAAGACAGTATATCTGTGAAAGATGCTGTTACTTATCAGTCTATACTGTTTAATATGCATACGAATTTGCAATAAATCTGAGGAGGTCAGGAGTTCACAATACACATATATGCTCCATACGCTGATCCTCAGTGTCTGCAAAGTAGGACTATAATTGGTCATTTTTAACTGATTAGAATCCTTCTAGAATTTTTGTGTTTACACTAATATAATGTTCTCTCTCCTCCTACCAGAGTCATGGCTCAATATGACCCATGAGAGTTGAGTAAATGAAACCAACACATACCACAGAAGTTTGGCACCCTAGAAACTTAACATAAGAAATGATTGACTAGAGTACTGAGAGGCATGTTTAGAATGCAAGTGTAATGAACAAAGCTTCAATCTACTTTAACCCATTGCCTGAGAATTGACTGCATTAACAAAAAAGGGTTAGCCAACAGCAGATGCAGGGAATGGTCAGAAAACAAAAGGTGACAAGGATTTCTTGCACTGTCTGGAGGAGAAGGTACCCCGACCTATGAACACAAATAATCCAATCTCTTGAACACAAATATCCCTACACTGTGGAGATACAAAGCCTCATGATGGTGTCATTCATTCTTAATCTACCCTCGTTTGTTCTGATCCAAGTTTAAGAAGCAACATCCTGTGATAATATGGCTTCTCCTATAGTTTTGTCTATGGGTAAAAGATATGTTTAGCACTATTACTTTTCATTGTAAGTGAGTAAATCAGCATTCTAGATTACACAGCCGTTGCTATGAGTGAATTAATTAATTAATTAATTTATTTATTTATTTATCTTTGAGACGGAGTCTTGCTCTGTCGCCCAGGCTGGAGTGCAGTGGCCGGATCTCAGCTCACTGCAAGCTCCGCCTCCCGGATTTACACCATTCTCCTGCCTCAGCCTCCCGAGTAGCTGGGACTACAGGCGCCTGCCACCTTGCCCGGCTAGTTTCTTGTATTTTTTAGTAGAGACGGGGTTTCACCGTGTTAGCCAGGATAGTCTCGATCTCCTGACCTCGTGATCCGCCCATCTCGGCCTCCCAAAGTGCTGGGATTACAGGCTTGAGCCACCGCGCAGGGCCGCTATGAGTGAGTTTATTTAACACGAATTTCTGAAAGACTTGTCAACTCTGGGTGCCCAGGAGTCAAGTTTAGCACCTCCAAAAAGAGCAGAGGATGAGACCATGAAATGAAAGGACCACAGGTACGACTGCCTCATGGGAGTCAGGCAGTCCCCGACCGTCTTTTATAATAATGTAGACCATTATGTGATTCCCTCAAAGTCTTAAAAACCACTTCATAGAAGCTTCTCATTGCTGCTTGAAAAACATCATGCCCAGGGCCGGGCACGGTGGCTCACGTCTATAATCTCAGCACTTTGGGAGGCCGAGGTGGGCAGATCTATTGAAGTCAGGAGTTCGAGACCAGCCTCGCCAACATAGCGAAACCCTGTCTGTACTAAAAATACAAAAATTAGCCGGGCGAGGTGGCACACGCCTGTAATCTTAGCTATTCGGTAGACTGAGGCAGGAGAATATCTTGAACCCGAGAGGCGGAGGTTGTAGTCAGCCGAGATTGCGACAATGCACTCCAGTCTGGGCAACAGAGCGAGACTCGTCTCAAAAAAAGAGGAAAGACGGAAGGAAGGAAGGAAGGAAGGAAGGAAGGAAGGAAGGAAGGAAGGAAGGAAGGAAGGGAGGAAGGGAGGGAGGGAGGGAGGGAGGGAGGGAGGGAAAGAAAGAAAGAAAAAACAAAACATTAGGCCCAGGAGAATCAGACTGCGGAAGGAAGGAAAAGAAAGAAAAAACAAAACATTAGGCCCAGGAGAATCAGACTGCATTGCACTCCCTGTTCTCAGTTCAGCCCTTGCTCCCAGGGTTTGGACCCAAAAGCCCTCGCTGGCCCAGCAGATGGCGCCGGTGCCCGCAGTGCGCCCCTCCGGGCGCAAAGGGGGCGCCCTCGCCGGGCCTCTTCTTCCTCTCCTGGATGACTCTTCCGCCTTCCGAGCCCGCCTCCTCGCCACGCCCCTGCGTCAGCGCGCTCAGCGCGTGCGCCGGCGGCGGGGCTGTGAGGAAAATGGCTGCGTCTTCGAGTGGTGAGAAGGAGAAAGAGAGGCTGGGAGGCGGCTTGGGAGTGGCAAGTGGTAACAGCACACGAGAGCGGCTACTGTCTGCGCTTGAGGATTTGGAGGTCCTGTCTAGGTAATGCTGCGATCCTGAGAGCCGGGCTGGAGCTAGGCCGGGGGACTGACCCCGGAGCCGGCCGGCCCAGCGTTTGTGCTCGTTCTCGGGGTTCGGCGGGGAGGGCCAGCTCGGGAGTTTCGGGTGCACCAGGGTCACGGACGTGGGGTCCGCAGTCTTCCAGCACTCTGGACGGCGGTTTTTCCCGTTAGAGGGAATTTTAGTAATGATAAGAACTCGCGCGGTCTGAGCCCCTTCGTCCACAGCCAGCCACTTAACATTTATGGAACGCCCCTTGGGTGCCAAGCACTAGGGAGACAGTAGTGCAGGGTAGGCTGAATGCCGGCTGTCGAGAGAGAGACAGATGTGTAAACTGCCTTGAAGCCTGTTTTTATTAGAGCGCTGCGCTGCGGGGTACTGGAGCACAGGGGCTAGGCACCTTTTCTGGTTGTAATCAGGGCAGGCCCTCTGAAGAAACGGCTGTTTGGGAAGCATGAGCTTGCCAGACTCACTAGGCAGCACAGGTAGATGGAACAGCAAGTGCAAAAAGCCTGGCTTGGTGGAGTTGCAAGTTGTGTATCAGAGATAGGAGATGAAATTAAATGTCATTCTTTATATTCTGTCACCTTTCATGATAAGTCTTTCAAGTTGAAGCCTTCCTTGACTCCCTCCCATTGACGTGGATGGTAAATTATCTTGGTTCTACCTCCTAAAATGTTGCTCACATTTGTCCTCTCGTTCCTACCCCGCTGTTCATAACTACTCTTAAATGCAGCCTCCCAGTTTTAATTGCCTCATGCTTCTGCACTGTATCCTTTTATATTGGCCAAGATCAGTTTTAAAAGGCATGTTATATTACTTTTCTGCAGAAAAATGATATAAAACCTACCTCATTGGTAGATTTGCGTTGTCCAGTGAGGTAAAGTTCAAATTCTTTAGTCAGGCTTCCACATCTTCAATGCCATTCCCAATCTTCCCCCGATTTGGTGAATGATTCATATATCCTTCAGATTCCAGCCCAAATGTCACTTTTTCTGTAGCCAACATTCTTTGACAGCTTTAGAATAAATCTTATCTGTTGTATTTTAAAATATACCTGATATAATCAGCACTTTATCTTTGGTGTAAATTTAGTCCTTGCCATAGTATTGCTACCAAGTTACCAGGTCAGCACAATATTTAATGATGGAAGAAAACCCTAAAACAAATAGACTCCAGAAATTAAATGACTTATGTGTTTGATCCACTGTTTAAAATAAACTGTATTATGGCCGGGTGTGGTGGCTCACGCCTGTAATCCCAACATTTTGGGAGGCCGAGGCGAGCGGATCATTGGAATTTCTTCACAGAATGAAGCTGCTCTGGTGGTGTGACTGGCTTCCAGAAAAGTCTCATGTGCTCACTCAGACATAGTTATGTGTGCTGATTCTGTGATCTGTGTAATTTGTCAGTCTCTGAATGTAATTTGTGTCTGGCTTGCATTTATGGAAATGAGAAGAAAATTCACGAATGTACCTTACATATTTTTAGGTTGAGCCTCTTGGCTTTAAAAAATAGTGGATTTATAACTTAGGATCTTTTTTTTTTTTCTATTAACCTGATTATGTACCCTTTCAGGATATTTATTACTTTGTAAAATGTAATGCAAGGAGACAGTCTTAAACAATTGAAACACAGGTTGTAGTCTAAACGTTTTTCTTAACCCGTTTGTAACTGAAAACTCACGGAATCATGTTGATAGGAGTCTTGAGGTTTCCACACCAGCCTGTTAATTCTGTTTACCTGAAAAGTGTATTACCACTAATAATGTAGGCTCTAACCCCTATGGAAATTTTATTTCTATGGGGAATTGTGGCTGGATTCTAATGCAGTATGCCAGGAATGCACCTTCCTTGTAGCAGGACAGGGCTCTTACTTCCACATCTTTAACCAGAGAGTGAGTATGGGCCTTCCTTTGGCCTCTTTTTCACAAATGGGGAGGACAGAGGTTTCTACTTCGTCTTGGACTGTTACAGAACATGACTAAGTCTTAGAGACTTCTACCTCCCCTCTACTCCTGTGTCAGAGACTTCTACCTCCCCTGTACTCCTGTGCCTATGGCAAGCCTTGTAAAGCCTTCTGTGGACTCATACTCCCAGATTTGCAAGAACAGAGGAAGGCTTATCCCACATCTCCTACCATAGCCCCACTCCAGTCAGCACCACCCCTGCCCCACCTGAAACCAGCTTTTACTTAGACTAGAGGTTCTCAACAGTTTGTGTCTCACTTGTGGCGTACACGAAAAAGTTTACGTAACATGCTGTTTTCATACACTGTTGATCCATCAGCAAGTCCTGATAGCTCTACCTCCAAAAGATATCTGAAATCTGTCTGTGTTTCTCCCATCACCATTACTAAGTCCTGGAGGCTATGACCTAGTCAAAACCAGTCATTTTTTGCCTGGAACACTACAAAAACCACCTGTTCTGCCCCTTTTACAGTCTATTTACCAAATCACTCAGCAGTTTTTAAAAGTGTAAATCAGGTCATGCCTTTTCCCTGTTTAAAATGATCCAGTGGCTTTTCATTGAATATGGAACGAAACATTAATCTTTACCATAACTGTAAGGTCCTACGTAATCTTACCCCTAGCCACCTGGCTGCTATATCCTCACTTTGCTTTCCTCTCCCCAGTGTACCTCCTCAGATCCATCTTTGGGGCACTGAACTATCTGTATCTTCTGCTGCACTCTTTCCTCCCAGATCTCTTGACTGACTTCTCTCATTTAATCTGTGTCTTATGTCAAAGCTGTGCCCTTAGGAAGACCTTCTGTGACCACCCTGTTCAAGTAGCCAATCCACTCCCCCAATAGTCTCTAATAAAACGTAGTTTTATTTCCTTGCCAACCCTTATCACTTTAGTTTTTTTTCTTGTCTTAGTAGTTCTTGTCTCTTGTATTAGAATTTAAGTGCCACTGTTCACTTTGATACCCCGAGTATCTAGAAAGTGCCTGGCACATAATAGGCACTCAATAAGTATTTGATGAATTAGTGAATAAATGAAGACTTTGCATTCTTATATCTTTTTTTTCATTCATTGATTACTTCATAAATAATGGTATGGGGAAGTAGTAGCGGGAAGGGTTGGGTCCAATTGACATGATCCAGAAAAATAATATAAGGCTAGCTAGAAGGAGGGTGGAAATTTGAAGGTAAAAATAGCATGGTAGCCAGTGAGAAAGTACAAACACTCGGTCTGATCAGAGCAGTGTCAGGTAGCTAGTTAGTTGTGAAACTGCCCCTCCTGCATAATTTCTCAAAAGTCCCATCTCTCAACAAGTTCGAAACTAATATGTAAACATTAGCTGCTACACATTTTTCCCAATCTTATTTTCCTCATCAGATGCTAATTTTCATATAGGGAAATTGTCATATTTATTAAATGAGCATTCTAAAAGGATATCATTTTATTATGTGTAAGGATCCCTCTTAGATATTTATTTAATATACATAAATATATCCCTATAAAAACATCTATCCCTGATAGATGTTGATTTTAATTTTAAAAATTCAAATAAAGTGGAGAATCATTAAAAAATGGTCCATGCATCCCTTGTTTTATTTTACCTTAAAATATATAAACATATGTTCATTCACTAATCATGTTATATAAGACAGGAGTCAGAAAACTTTTTCTGCAAAGACCAGATAATAAATACTTTTGGGTTCATGGGCCATATAGTCTCTGCTATAACAACTCAACTCTGCCTCTGTATTGGGAAAACTGCCATAGACTATTGTGTATTAATGGGCAGACTGTCTTAGGAAAATGTTATTTACAAAAACTGCAGATGTCCTGGATTTGGCCTGTAGATCCCTCATGTACAAGTTTTTCTTGTATAAATTATTCATAATGCATTGTCTGCAATTTGTAGTTTGATTTCTAGATCAAATCAAAATGAGAACTTAGCCTCTCATCAAGCAGTCTTAGGGTAGACCCTTAGTTTTTATGACTTTTCCCTGGTCCATCCTTTATAGTTGTCCTTTGCAAGCCTCTATCGAGTCTTTCCAAGCATTAGGGTTTTTATAGAAAGAACTCTGTTTACAATCATATTTCATTGGCATTTAGGTGATAGCTATTTATATAATGATAGTATTAAGTGGAACTTATTTTATAAATAAGTTTGGTAACCAGCACAACTGAGTCTTGGTGAGCTGAAGTTCACAGTCATAGCAGACTGTAGGGAGTAGCCCTGGGTGTTCAGCATGCTGTGAAAGAGTTTTTGTTGTTGTTGGTTTCTCTTTTAGGGAACTTATAGAAATGCTGGCAATTTCAAGAAACCAGAAGTTGTTACAGGCTGGAGAGGAAAACCAGGTAAGTGGCTTCTTTTTAAATTAATTTCTCTTTGTTTTTAAATAAAAAGACAAAAAAACTTGATTTCTGCCAGTTTCCTATTTATATTTACTTTGAGAACAGGAATATTAGATCCTTTTAAGTTATTAATTGAAACTTTAAGATTGATATTTTCTTTGCATCATTTACTTAAGATAACAGTGTGCTTAAGAAGAATAGTTGCCTAAGGGTTTAGCAGTATTTTATTATTTTTCTCGTACAATTCTAGTTACACTTACGTATTTATTTATTTTTGTCCTTTGAATTAACCAAGAAAGGCTTGTTATATGGAGATTACAACAATATTTAGAATCAAAAGTTAATGCTCAAAAACTTACCCTGTATTGTAAGTATAGTTCTCTAATGCAACTTGAACATGAAGGGAAATAAAAGAGCATACAACTCTTACTAGACATTGCCTTATAGGTGTGAAAGTACAGGCAGTTTTTATTTGCTCACCTTTTCTGTGCTTTCTAATTTTCCATGGAGGGTGAACAGACTTGTTTTCTTGATTTCAGAAATTTTCTTTTTTTTGACACGGAGTTTCGTTCTGTTGCCCAGGCTGGAGTGCAGTGGCGCAATCTTGGCTCACTGCAAGCTCCGCCTCCTGGGTTCACGCCATTCTCCTACCTCAGCTTCCCAAGTAGCTGGGACTACAGGTGCCCGCCACCAGGCTATTTGTTTTTCTTTTTTTTTTTTTTGTATTTTTAGTAGAGATGGGGTTTCACCATGTTAGCCAGGATGGTCTCGATCTCCTGACCTCGTGATCCGCCTGCCTCAGCCTCCCAAAGTGCTGGCATTACAGGTGTGAGCCACTGCAGCTGGCCTCCTGATTCAGAAATTTGTTAGAGGTAAAAGGATAAATTTTATATTATGTTTTTGGCACAATTAATTTTTTCTTTTTTGAGACAAGTTCTCGCTCTGTAGCCCAGACTAGAGTGCTGTGGCATGATGACTGCTCACTGCAGCCTCAACCTGCTGGACTCAGGCGATCTCCCACTTACCTAACTCACCAGTACCTGGGACTACAGGCATGCACTATAATGCCATGCTAATTTAAAATAATTTTTTTTTTTTTTTTTGGTAGAGATCTAGTCTCACTGTGTTGCCCAGGCCAGTCTTGAACTGTCTTGAACTCCTGCCCTCAAGCGATCCTCCCCACCTTGGCCTACCAAAGTGCTGGGACTACAGGCATGAGCCACCATAGCTGGCCAAAAAAAATGTTTGAGAGAAAATGAATGGAGAAGATTAACCTTTCTAAAAATGATGTAAAGTAGAAGAGGAGACAGTAATAAATCTTTTGTCTACATCATTATCTTAATTCTATCTTACGACATGTTTAGAGGGCAGGGAAATCTGACAGACTCAATAGAAAAGTGTCAATGAGCCTCAAAAGGGGAGGAGGGGATCCAGATGAGGCCACAAGCTAGGAAAAACAGCTAACCTTAGGGGTAGTAAGGTTTTTGTTTTGTTTTTTCAAAAGAGAAAGAGGCTAGAGATAAATATGTTAATAGAAGACTGCTAGTCTCTCAGGTACTCTATTAATACCCGTGGGTTTAAATAGGAATTTATACAAAATGTGCAAGAAGCAAAATGCAAGGCTTGACTTTATTTGATAGACACTTATTAAATGCTTGCTATGAGCCAGGCACACAGATTATTCAGAAGGCGATAATTAAGACCTATAATCAGCACTGAGCTTTCTTGTACTTTCTAAAGAGTAGCAATTCTGTGAATTGTATCTTGTACTTAGTACTGTGGATTCCTGTGTAATTTTCATTGAAACTGTTAATATTAGAGAGGAATGTGCCCATTTGAAAATTTTCTAGCCACCATTTTATTTGAATAGTTATAATGTTACATAGAATTTTAGAATTAGGATCTTAACGATGTGAGACTGAGTTCCAGGGTGAACCGATGAGCTAGAGGTTAATGGTGAGTGGAACCAGAACCTAGGTCTTCTGACTTTAGTTGAGTAATTTTTTTCTACTGAACAATAATATCTAAAGAGAATATTTTTTACTTGTGGGTAGTATATAAATTAGTTCAAACTGTGAAAACTTCTTGAAAGTTGTCATGGAACTAATGTGTACTACTTACCTTAATAATACAGCTTTTACAGAAATGGAAGCCTAGCTTTCTGCTACGATGTAGGAGGAATGAGGATTAGAGGTCTATTAAATAAATAGAATATACTTTACTTTTTACAGAAAAAGCTTTCTGTTGTTATTTAAAATACTCAATATTTGGCAGTTTGTAGCTCAGTCTTTTGTCTATTGTATTAGAAGAATTCCTATAAAAATGAGAGGAACTTCATGTCAAAAGGAACTTGAAGAGACATACCTGTATTTTTTAGTCTTCAACAAATTTTTTAAAATAGTTTTAAAATTGATTCTGAATTTTGACAGCTGTTTTCTTTCTGAAGTAGTATTCTCTACTTAGCACAGTAAAGTAAGGGTATTTAGACTAAACTTGCATCTTAATTCTGTACTGGGGTGGTGATCGTAATAACTAGCCTTTGCTGAGCTCTTCCTGTATGTACTTAAAGTGCATTATATCATGAATCCTCACAATACCTTTATGTAATGGCTACTATTAATATTATATTCCTTTTCCAATTAAGAACACAGGCTCAGAGAGGCGGGTAACTTTCCCTATGTCACACAGCTAGCAAATGGAGGACTAGAGATATGAACCACCAGACTTTCTATTTTATGTGTTTTAGGCTTCATGGTTTTTTGCCATATCTGCATACCACTTGTTTATTTACTGTTTTATGAAATCACTGTTTTTTTGTTTTGTTTTGTTTTGTTTTTGTGAGACAGAGTCTCGCTCTGTCACCCAGGCTGGAGTGCAGTGGCATGATCTGGGTTCACAGCAACCTCCGCCTCCTGGGTTCAAGTGATTCTTCTGCCTCAGCCTCCTGAGTAGTTGGGATTACAGGCGTGTGCCACCACCCCTGGCTAATTTTTGTATTTTTAGTAGAGACGAGGTTTCACCATGTTGGTCAGGCTGGTCTCAAACTCCTGACCTCGTGATCCGCCTACCTCGGCCTCCCAGAGTGCTGGGATTACAGGCGTGAGCCACTGTACCTGGCGAAATCACTGTATTTTTATGATCATCTTCATCATAAGTAATACTGTGCATAAAATCAGAGTTTCAGTGTCTCAGTTTTTTCTAATATATATTAGCACAAATGTGTAACTGTAAAAGCTTTTTTAGGTTCTTGGTGCCACCTAAAATCATCTCAAATACTAAGTTTTGGGAGAACCTTCATTATATATATATATTTTTTGAGATGGAGTTTCGCTATTGTTGCCCAGGCTGGAGTGCAATGGCACGATCTCAGCTCACTGCAGCCTCTGCCTCTGGGTTCAAGTGATTCTCCTGCTTCAGCCTCCCGAGTAGCTGGGATTACAGGCATGCACCACCATGCCCAGCTAATTTTGTATTTTTAGTAGAGATGGGGTTTCTCCATGTTGGTCAGGCTGGTCTCGAACTTTTGACCTCTGGTGATTCGCCTGCCTCCACCGTGCCTGGCCTATGTTGTATTTTTAAGGATAAACTCTTTTTTTTGAGACAGAGTCTCACTCTGTCACCCAGGCTGGAGTGCAGTGGCATGATCTTGGCTCACCGCAACCTCCACCTCCCAGGTTCACACAATTCTGCCTCAGCCTGCTGAGTAGCTGGGATTTTAGGCACCACCACACCCAACTAATTTTTGTATTTTTAGTAGAGATGGGGTTTCACCATGTTGGCCAGACTAGTCTCGAACCCTGACCTCAAGTGATCCGCCAGCCTCAGCCTCCCAAAGTGCTGGGATTACAGGCATGAGTCACTGTGCTCAGCCATAAGGATAAACTTTAGAATTGTATCTTCCCTAGGAAATCACTAAACTTGCTCATGTTGCCATATTGTTAGTTCTGAAAGACTAGTTTTATTTTGTTTTGTATGAAAGAATAGCTGAAAAAGTAGAAAAGTTTTATATTTATGTTTCCCAGAATAATCATAGGTAGGCTATTTTTATTTTTAACAAGAATTAGGAATAATACTTTGAAGGTGTTGAAATTTATAGCCTAGCCAATTCAGTTATGGATTCTTTGTTTCATTGAAGTGCAGCCTTTCAGTAGTCTATTGTTTGATTTAATTGACTGTTATCTGACAGGTCCTGGAGTTGTTAATTCACCGAGATGGGGAATTTCAAGAACTAATGAAATTGGCACTTAATCAGGGAAAAATTCATCATGAAATGCAAGTTTTAGAAAAAGAAGTAGAGAAGAGAGACAGTGATATTCAGCAACTACAAAAACAGCTAAAGGAAGCAGAACAGATACTGGTAAGTTGACAGAGGTTGGTTCTTAAGGTTAAAAAGGATATTGTTTAATCTGTTTCTGAAAAATCTGTTGTCAGTATTTTGAAGAGCAGAAAACTAGACTTTTTCCTTTTTTTTTTTTTTTCTTGAGACAGAGTCTCGCTCTGTCCCCCAGGCTGGAGTGCAGTGGTGCAATCTCGGCTCACTGCAAGCTCCGCCTCCCGGGTTCACGCCATTCTCCTGCCTCAGCCTCCTGAGTAGCTAGAACTACAGGGGCCCACCACCGCGCCCGGCTAATTTTTTGTATTTTTAGTAGAGACGGGGTTTCACCGTGGTCTCCATCTCTTGACCTTGTGATCTGCCCACCTCGGCCTCCCAAAGTGCTGGGATTACAGGTGTGAGCCACTGTGTCCGGCCAAAAAAACTAGACTTTCCAAGTCTAAAAGTGACATCTTGTCACTAACCATTGCCCGTGTTTGAATGAAAGGCTATTGTCATTCTCTTTTTTACTTACATTTTCAGATAGCCTGCATTACTTGTGAGCCACATTTTCATTACTTAAGGATTTTACAGTATTGAATTATAGGAGTGGAAAGTTTTACTTTTATCCTGGTCTGATATAAATTTTAATATCAGTAGTCTAAATCTTTTTTTTTTTTTTTTTTTGGTCTCTGATCCTTAAGATAAAAATCAGGGACATTTTTCATTTTTTATATATTTTGAAATTAGTAAAAATATGTACACATTTTATAAATTGATTAAAATATACATTAATTTAGTCATTCATCCTCATCTAGGTAGGCTTTGGACATATATCAAGGATCTGAGTTTTTCCTTTGCTGTTCTTGGCTACTATTTCAAAGAGGCAATTTATTTGCTACTATTTGCCCAGTTACTTCACTAAATACTAACTAATATAATATAAGAGTATTGCAGAAATAGCTGAGGTTAATTCTCATGTCGACCAGACATTGCTGGCATCCTTAACCACTGATGAATCTCTTAACAAATGTGTCAAAATGAGCTCCAGTAACTAGAATCCTGCGTAGTTCAGGGTAAATTAATCACCCTTACTGAGGAAACAACTCACTAGTAAATAGTTTTTTAAAATATATTAAAATCAGGCCAGGCGTGGTAGCTTACACCTGTAATCCCAGCACTTTGGGAGGCCAAGGCAGGCAGATCACAAGGTCAGGAGTTCGAGACCAGTCTGGCCAACATAGTGAAACCCCGTCTCTACTACAAATACAAAAATTAGCCAGGTGTGGTGGTGTGTGCCTGTAACCCCAGCTACTCGGGAGACTGAGGCAGGAGAATCGTGTGAACCCGGGAGTCATAGGTTGCAGTGAGCCGAGATCACGCCATTGCATTCCAGCCCAGATGACAGTGCGAGACTCTGTCTGAAAAAAAAAAAAATTAAAATCAGCCAGGCATGGTAGCTCGTGCCTGTAATCCCAGCACTTTGGGAGGCCAAAGCGGGCAGATCACCTGAGGTCAGAAGTTCAAGACTAGCCTGGCCAACATGGTGAAATCCATCTCTACTAAAAATACAAAAAAATTTAGCTGGGCATGGTGGTTCACACCTGTAATCCCAGCTACTTGGGAGGCTGAGGCAGGAGAATCGCTTGAACCCAGGAGGTGGAGGTTGCGGTGAGCCGAGATCACGCCATTGCACTCCAGGCTGGGCAAAAAGAGCAAAACTCCATCTCAAAAAAAAAAAGGGGGGGGTGGTATTTTATTCTTGAACTAGTTACAAGAATAGGATGCTTTTGGGGTTGTGCATGGTCTAGATATCTCCTGCGTGTTTATGATAGAAGACGTGAAGAAAAAGTAGACAATCCAATTTATATTTTGTTTTTACAACTGATTTGTGAATGGGAGACTAGTTCATAAATATAATATTTCTTTCATTAAATATGACTGAAATAAATAATGTCAAGAGGTATTTCAGAACATTACAGATAATTGTTGGGATTTCCAGGTTTCGAAGATTGTTCTTGTAGGATAAAGGATCTTGTGAATTAAGCCAAAAACTAAGTTTGATATAGTTGAAGAATAAATCACATTTTTTTTTTATGTTGTTTAAATTAGGCAACAGCTGTTTACCAAGCAAAGGAGAAACTCAAGTCAATAGAAAAAGCAAGAAAAGGTTAGTATGGGAAGACTGAATGACTTGAGAAGTTAAGGTTCTGTTTTCAAGAGACCAATGCAAGAGGATATTACTGATAATCATTTGCTGCTGTTGAAAGGATTCAATAAATTTTTATTGTAAAGTGTGTTATGTTCTAGCATTGTGCTAGGTGTTGTGAGGGAGGTAGAAGTATCACATCCTTTTTCAGATTATAAAAAGCAATTAATACAAGGCAGTTTATGGCTGTGTGCCCAAATGTGCAGTAAAAACAGTGAGTTTATAAAATTGGTGGGAGAGGGAAAGAGAAGTACGGGTTAGAAGTGGAATTTGTACCAAATCTTGAAGGCTAGGACAGAGAGAGTGAAAGGACATCCATTGGACAGCTGAGCTGGGACTGAAACATGAAGTCAGAGCCAGACGTACATGAAGTCAGAGCCAGTTACAGTCTTGGCAGGTAAGCACGTTTGGTGGTGCAGAGGCCCACATGCCTTCCTGGCCTGCTGTCCCTCTTTCAAAGGCTTCTGTTACGGATCTTACGTGACTTTTTAGTTTGCCATACTAAACGTCAGAATTGTAATTACAACTTTGGTTACTTGCCTTTAATGATTTGTACATATGATTTTACATTTATTCATCTGAGATTTATTGTCTAACTGTCCTCTTTTTTGGGAACCTACCTTTTTATTGTTGAATATGAAAAATAGCTAATATTCTTCTGAGAGTTAGGTTAGGCTTCTATAGCAACAAACAAATCTCTAGGAGAGATGACTGAGGCTGGCTATTGACTTCTAGACCGTAGTTTGATTTTGTTTTTAATCTTCAAAAATTTTACATACACTTTGTTAGGTTGAAACAGTATCTAAAGTTTGTAAAATGAAGTGTGTGGTTCTCACTTCTCAGAGGTAACTGTTAATGTTTGCTATATGTCCTTCTAGATTTTTTTTCTAGATCTGTGAGTATGTATATAATAAAAATACAAATACACATATGTACATGTATTTTAAACAATCAGGTCATATCGAACATATTATTTAGTAGTGTTTTGTTTACCTAGTGAGTACATTGTAGACATCTTTCTACTTAGGTCTACTTAAGAGCCTTAGGGCATATTGATCAAACAGAGTGGTGTGAACTGTCTGCTCTGATTTCATAGCTTGGATGTCTTTGAGAAATAAAACACTATTTTCTCTATTTTATTTGTGCTCACTATTGCTTTCAGAAGAGTAATAGTATTTAATGGTAGTTAATAATTGAGATTATTGAGTGCTGTCATGCTAATCTCCAAAATTTGTTTATGTCAGCTAATGTTTCTGGATTAGTGTCCTGTTTTTGGAGATTTAAGTTTATACTAAATATGTAGATATTGTTAAGGAAGGCGGGTGACTGAGATGATTTTATTTTCAGGTAATTTAAAATTAAATATGATGGGTAACTGATAGATACATTTCTAAACTTGTATGTTTGTTAGACTACAGGTTATACTATCCTCTTAACTCTTTCAGGTGCTATCTCCTCTGAAGAAATAATTAAGTATGCACATAGGATCAGTGCAAGTAATGCTGTATGTGCTCCACTGACCTGGGTTCCAGGTAAACACACTCCTGTTTTATACTAGATGTGTGTGATTTTGAAAATTCTTAGGTGACTATGTACACACATAGATTTAATTTAGAATGTATGTATCCTTAGAAACCTCTGCCACATATTTCACATCTTTAATGGTTTATAAGTAATGATATAGGCCATGGGTTTTATAAATTTTGTTTTCTATGAAGCCATTATTGCTAGGGATTATGTTTCTTTCCTCTTTTGAAATAATAATTTCATTTTGTTTTTAAAGTACAAGATAATGTGATGCTTCTAAAGCTTTGGATTTATATCCCATTATATCAGGGCTGGCCAGAAGCCAACTCTTTAGAGCCATTAGGATTTCCACAAAGGTTCCAGCCTAAGAAAGACAGTTCCAGTTATCTTAGATGCTAAAGACAAAGTGCTGTGTACCCAACAGTGAACACACAGGCTTGGAAAGAGCTAGGATAATTAGACAGCAAAAGAAAATATTAGGCTGCAACTATAATGACAGTGGATGAAACATAAAACAGGAGATGTAAGGTAGCAGCCTTATTGGAGGAAGGGGAAATATTAATAGTTGTCTCCACTTCAGTAACTCCTGAAGGGGCTGTGTTACCATGCTGAAAGCACTAAGGGTGACTATAATTTTGGGGATGAGTAATCTGCAGTTGGTGAGATGTGCCCAAAAAATCAGTCCAGATCTGGTCATGTTTTTGTCAACCACATACTGCTGTTTAGTGTGCTTTCATGTTTGGGATGAACATTACCTGCTCCTGCTATTTCGCCACTTATAGGAATTAGTTTCTGAATGACCAGATCAAAGAGGTTGGTTAGAAAAAGGTTTCATCTTAGACAAGTTGGCATGAGGAAAAAAAAGTAAAACAAAAAGGTGAAAATTAAAAAAAAAAAAGTTTTAAATTGAGACAGCCCTTCTATTAAACATTCCAGTCCTTTCCGTCTTATAACTGTCATAATTTTTTTTCTCCCTTCTAGCATGTATCATTGTCATTTTCTTGCTAGAAAATACAGTTAAGTTTGAATAATTGAGATTATGATAATTTTCTTAAGTTGTCATCCAGAATGTTTACAAAAAAAGACTTCTCATTTTTTTAAAGTATGGAAAATAGTATATTCTTGGGAAGATTCAGAAAAATTAAAATGCATGTATTTTTAAAAGTAATACGCTATTAATAACAATTTATAAGGTGACTTTTCTCTTTCTTTCTTTCTTTCTTTTTTTTTTTGAGACGGAGTCTTGATCTGTTGCCCAGGCTGGAGTGCAGTGGCGTGATCTCAGCTCACTGCAACCTCTGCCTCGCAGGTTCAAGCGATTCTCCTGCCTCAGCCTCCAGAGTAGCTGGGATTATAGGTGCATGCCACCATGCACGAATAATTTTCATATTTTTAGTAGAGACGGGGCTTTACCATGTTGGCCAGGCTGGTCTTGAACTCCTGACTTCAGATGATCTGCCCACCTCGGCCTCCCAAAGTGCTGGGATTACAGGTGTGAGCCACCGCACCCGGCCAGATGACTTTTATATTTCAAACTTGAAAATGTAGCCTGAACTTTTCAGTGTGAACCAAGGAAAATGAGTGTGTCAAAGAACGTACTAACACTTATTTTTAAAAATATGATTGAATTAAATGCAGTCTTTATTGTTTTAGGGGACCCCCGGAGACCCTACCCAACTGATTTAGAGATGAGAAGTGGGTTACTGGGTCAGATGAACAATCCTTCCACTAATGGTGTGAATGGCCATTTACCAGGAGATGCACTCGCAGCAGGAAGATTGCCAGGTAATGTTAAGCCAAAGAGTGTTTTCAAACAGATCAAGGTTTTCCAGAGATGACAAGTTGGAATATCTTGCGGTAAAGCAAGTTTGAGATTCCCGACACAATTTTTTTTTTTTTTTAAATTTGAGACAGTCTCACTGTGTCGCCCAGGCTGGAGTGCGTTGGCCCAGTCTCAGCTCCTGGGTTCAAGTGATTCTTGTGCCTCAGCCTCCTGAGTAGCTGGGATTACAGGCATGTGCCACCACGCCTGGCTAATTTTTGTATTTTTAGTGGATATGGAGTTTTGCCCTGTTGGCCAGGCTGGTCTCGAACTCCTGACCCCAAGCGATCGCCTGCCTCAGCCTCCCAAAGTACTGGAATTACAGGTGTGAGCCAGTGTGCCCGGCTCTCAGACCCAGTTCATTGTAATAGCTAGATTCTTTGCCAGTTTATTCTATTCTCTAAAGATTCTCCTTGAGGGAGGTATGAAATTAGAATAAGCTGCCTTTCTCTTATTTGTAAATATTACACTGTCTTCCTCAGGCATTAGGCCTCTCTTTTAAAATTATTGCTCTAAATATAGGTTTTTTATAATTGTGAAACACGCTATGTAAATAGAGTAAGATAGTTTATGGAATAAAGTGAACACACCCCTGAACAACCCCCAGGTTGACAAAATGAATAACAATACCTTTTTATAAACTTTTTTTTTTTTTTTTTTTGAGACAGAGTCTCGCTTAGTCGCCCAGGCTGGAGTGCAATGGCGCGGTCTCGGCTCACTGCAAGCTCCGCCTCCCGGGTTCACGCCATTCTCCTGCCTCAGCCTCCCAGGTAGCTGGGACTACAGGCGCCCGCCGCCTCGCCCGGCTAATTTTTTGCATTTTTAGTAGAGACGGGGTTTCACCGTGTTAGCCAGGATGGTCTCGATCTCCTGACCTCGTGATCCGCCCGCCTCGGCCTCCCAAAGTGCTGGGATTACAGGCGTGAGCCGCCGCGCCCGGCCATAAACTTTTATAACTTTATAAAATAGTATTTCTGTGAGATCCATTTCATTCTGAGCTTCAGTTTTCCTCAAGTTTTTCATAGGTTTGTGCTGTTTTTATATATATTTATTTTAATCTTTTATAGTTTATAGGTGACTTTTATTTTGATGTGGTAGAACATTGGGAAGTAGAAAAAGGCATTTTAAAAAGGGAAAAAAATACCCTTTCTGAGGCAGTCACTTTAAAATATTTTAGCCTGTTTCCTTTTTTCCGCTATACATTTTTTGCTGAATGTTACATCATAAGACTGTCACTGTGTCATTCATAATGCTTTGTATGCATCATTTTTGTTAGCTACCTAAAGTATAATCTGGGGAACTCACTGTGATATCCTTGGATATCACCTCATATTTCTCATGTTTTAAAACTACAGGAAAAACAGAATATGGGGAGTCATTGCCACATTTTTGGACCAAGGAAGGGACAGACCTAGAAACACTCCTCCCTAGCCCCATCCCAAGGCCAATACTCGTATCATGGTGCTGTCATTGGAGAGGGTGTAGTGTAGTTGTGGCCCACTCCATGGCAGAGAAGTTAGATGAGGCGTCAGAGGCCAGAACTGGCAAGCAGGAAATTACCCACTGGGGTTCCAGGGAGACTTGCTGGGAAGCTGCCCTTTGGGATTGTGGTGAAACCTGCTAGGAAACCACCTTTAGAGATGCCACTGAAAGTTGCTGTGGTGAACACCACTTAATGTCTTGCACACCAACCAGGCATCACAGCAGTAAAGGAAACAAAAACACCCGATCCAGGAAGTGAAACTTGTTTGCCTATGCCCTCTACTGACAAAACTTAATTGTGGCAGCTGGCAAAGGAGAAACGGTTTCAGGGGCCAGAGAGAAGGGTAGATTTGAAGCTAACTGGCATACCTTTCTGGTTAATACCATAACTCTTTATAATACCATAACACTTTAAAAATCTGCCTTCTTTCTTTGAGTCTTGAAGTGTACCTGTTGATGGGCTCTGTCCCTTTGCTTCAGAAATACAGACTTTTAATGTGACTTGGGCACTTTTTTATAAGGTATTTCATATGCATACATTGCTAATCAACCTCTCTTTGATGAGAGTCATTTACAATAGCAGTTCCTCTATCAAGAAATCATACAAATCTATTATAATACTAAAGTACCTATTACCTGTTTATAATATGTAGAATAATCTGCATAACCTAGTATAAGTAATTATATATTATATATACATATAATAGATACATAGATACAGGAAAAATTTGTAATTATAAATGTCTTACAAAAGAAAAATTTATGTCAACTGACTATTTGAATAGTTTCTTAGAGTAGTATGATTAAAAAAAAAAAAATCCCCAGTTGCTAAAATATCACACTTTTCCTTGATAAATTTGATTTTTATTAATTTGGCCAAATGTATATTTTTTTCCTAGTCTTAAAAAAATTGGCACAATAGCTTATGCCTGTAATCCCAACACTTTGGGAGGCTGAGGTAGGAGGATAGCTTGAGCCCAGGAGTTGGAGACCAGCCTAGGTAACATAGTGAGACCTCATCTCTACAAAAACTTTAAAAAGTACTCAGGCATGGTGGTGCATACCTATAACCCAGTTACCCAGGAGGCTGAGGCAGGAGGATTGCAGCCTAGGTCGGGGCTGCAGTGATGTGTTCGTGCCACTGCACTCGAGCCTGGGTGACAGAATGAGACCCTGTCTCAAAAAAAGAGAGAAAAGTAAAATTTTTAAAAATATACTTCAAATTGTTTGCATAAAGGAAAAAGTAAGAACTAGATTAATTACAAATAGAGCTGTTCTTATCTATGCTTCTTTTTTTCTCCAGATGTCCTTGCTCCACAGTATCCATGGCAGTCAAATGACATGTCGATGAATATGTTACCACCAAATCATAGTAGTGACTTTTTGTTGGAACCTCCTGGGCATAATAAAGAAAATGAAGATGATGTAGAGATTATGTCAACGGACTCCTCAAGCAGTAGTAGTGAGTCTGATTGAAAAACCGTAAAAGACAATATACAGAATTGAATACTGTAGAATTCCATTTCTTTAACAGTAGCAGGGAAATGTAAACCACGGGTGACAAAGAATAACCAGGTAAATACTGGCTTTGGTAGAATTGTGCATCCATTGAAAGTCAAAGTGAACTTTCTTTTTAAAGCCAAAGATTATAGTTTTAGTTTTAAGCCACTAGGTAGATATTTAGGGGAATAGTCAACATTTACTGTTGAAAAGAGAAAGCAGTTGCTATGTGCTGTCTTACCCTGTTCTGTTCCAGTTTTGCTGGATTTGTACATAGCTGTTCTAGAAATAGAGTTGAGGGAAGTGATCCACGTACATATCACTAATAGGTTTCTTGGAATTATTTAGAAAAGCATTTTTAATCTGGCAGTGGATGACTGAATAGGCATCATATTTCTTTTTGTGTGTCATTTAAAAGTAACAAAAACTCCCATTTGACAGTAAAGGCTCTTGGCTTCTGTTGGAGGAATGGGAAATTGTCTCAATTTGTACATTTGTAATTATTGTAATTTTTGTAAATAAATTTGTTTGTATATTGTATGCTTTTTTTTTTTACTTTAAATATACTGTCAGTGTAGATAGGAAATTATTTCTGTAACTCCAGTTGCATTTTATAATACTTGAGAGACTAATTGAATTGAAACCTATTACAAGTAATAGGTTTCTCAAAGGCCCACATTCCTATTAGAAGAAATAATTTTTTTTTTTTTAATAATTGAAAAAACTTACCACAGCCTTGTCTGATTAAGAATAGATTGTGTGAAAAGATTTAGAATGGAAAGCAACCATTTCTTCCCTTCACCTTCCTCCTCTTGCAGTTCCTCAGGAGTCACTTTTAACCACTTCTAATTTCTGGTAGTAACCTCTGTATTTAAGTAATATGCTTATACAACTATTTCTTGATGTATCAGTTTTAGACAATGTATCGTCTGATTTCAAAGGTAATACAACATTTAATGTGAAACATTTAGCGAATACAGTAAAGCACAAAGGAGAAAATAAAATTGTTAGCATTCTACCCAGAGATAATATCAATTCATATTTTAGTGTAGATTTTTTTAAAGTTCACATATACTCTTTTTTGTAAAATGAGAATATTTCCTGAGATACTGCTGTATTTTTCAATTGCTAATCTGTATTCTTCAAATGAAGTGAGAATTCCATTTTTCCATCATTTTTTCCTTTTGATTATTTTTGATCTCTAGAAAAATTGGAAAATAAGAGATTAATCTTACATTTTCACCATCTAGAATTAAGAACATATAATGTTTGAATGTCTTTCCCCCCAGGGTTATTTTTATGAATGGACTAACACAATATCTAATTTTAACCTTTCCTTGTCCGTATACTAAGAATATTGATCCATGTGGATACATTCTTGAAAGATTTACTTTAATGGCTAAAATTTTATTGTGGTATGTGCCATAATGTAACTGCTTATTTTTATTACCAAATATTTAGGATAAATTCAAAAGGATTATGTTTTTCAAATTCTTAATACTGTATTAGTTTTCAGTTGCTGCCAAAACAAATTACCACAAACTTGGCTCGAAACAACACAAATTTATCTTAGTTTTGTACCTCACAAATGCAAAGTGGATCTCATCTAAAATCAAGGTATGGGCAGGGCTGCATTCCTTCCTGGAGGCCACAGGGGAGAATCTGTTCCCCGAGTCTTTCAGGTTTTACAGGCCGCCCTTGCTCCTGCTCCAGGCCCCTGGTTGGTGAGTGTTTCTCATTCCGCATTAGTGTGATGCTCTTCTGCCTACCTTTCCCATATTTAAAGGATCCTGTGATCATTCTGGGCCCACTGGATAACCCAGGATAATCTTATTTAAAGTCAGATGATTAGCACCCTTTATCCTGTTTGCAACCTTAATTCTTCCTTGCCATCTAACAAAACAACATTCATAGGTTCTATAGATTGGGATATAGACATCTTTGGGGAAAGGGGGTCATTATCCTGCCTATCAGAAATAATCCAAACTTTTCCCCTGAAAACTACACAAATGTACATTCCATCAGCTTTACAGAAAGACTGAGACTTAACTATATAAAGTACTAAGTCAGATATCATAAGTCTATATAATAGATTTCTGAAATTTTTTTTTAAGTTTTTTTGTGTGTGTCTCAGTAGATTCCCTTAGAATAACTGCCTCTGGAAATGATTTGTCTATAAAAGGTCATAAACTCAAATTTATCTTCAGAAACGAGGCCACTAACACAAATGTAAGGAGTGGCTAGATACTACTTAACAGGGAGTGGTAGAAATTTTGGCCAAAACTAGAGTGTATGCCCAGGCATTTAAAATTAGATTATATAAACTGTGGGACAAATCTAGCCCAAAAGTGCCTGTTTTTTGTTTTTTGTTTTTTCCCCTAGAGATGAGGTCTTACTGTGTTGCCCAGGCTGTTCTTGAACTCATGGCCTCAGGCAGTCCTCCTGCCTCAGCCTCTCAAAGTTCTGGGATTACAGGCCACCATACTGGGCTCACAAGTACCAGTTTTTGATATTGGTATAACTTTGTGCAGTTGTTGCTTTGGGGAGCTAGAGTAAGATCTGCCTAAGAATTATGTATTCTGAGGTTGTGAGTGGACAAATCCATGCCCCTCAGCTGCATCAGCAGTTATTTTTAGGTGGTAAAGGGAAACACCTTGGGGCTAAAAACGAAGGGTAGAGGAAGAAAAACATTTGCACACTTCTGTGGGCAGATTTCTAAATTTGTTTATAGGAAGTTATTGTCTTGTATTTGATTCTCCAGTGTCCCCTTTAAGGAAATCTGTAGGCTGTTTATTCTTTCCTACTGATAAGTATAACTTTTTTTTTTTTTTTGAGATGGAGTCTTACTTTGTCACCCAGGCTGGAATGCAGTGGCACGATCTTGGCTCACTGCAAGCTCCGCCTCCCGGGTTCACGCCATTCTCCTGTCTCAGCCTCCTGAGTAGCTGGGACTACAGGCACCCGCCACCACACCTGGCTAATTTTTTGTATTTTTAGTAGAGCTGGGGTTTCACCGTGTTAGCCAGGATGGTCTCGATCTCCTGACCTCATGATCTGCCCGCCTCGGCCTCCCAAAGTGCTGGGATTATGAGCGTGAGCCACCGTGCCTAGAGATAAGTACAACTTTTAACTCTGGGAATATCAGTCGGCTTTTTGAAATGATCTTGGTGCTAGAAAGACTTGTAACTGTTTAAGGGCCTCTCTTCACTCATCTTCCTAAACTTCTGCCATACTTGTGACATGTGAAATGCATGGGTGTTCTAAGTAGGTTTCTGCTTTCTCAGCATAGTGCCTGGCACTTTGTAGGCCCCCAATAAATAATAATTGCAAGAATGAATCTCAGCTCGGTGCAGTGGCTCACACCTGTAATCCCAGCACTTTCGGACGCCAAGATGGGCCGATTGCTTGAGTCGAGGTGTTTGGGACCAGCCTGGGCAACATGGCGAAACCCCATCTCTACAAGAAATGCAAAAATTAGCCAGGCATGGTGGTACACGCCTATAGTGCCAGCTTACTAGGGGAGACTGAGGTGGAGGATCGCTTGAGCCCGGGAGCTGTGATCGTGCCACTGCATTCTAGCATGGGTGACAGAGTAAGACCATCTCTCAAAAAAAGAATAAATTTCAATTTATATCCCTGGAGGACTGGCTTGAAGATATTAAAGAAAACTGTAAGGGCCCCCTTTACACCTCTTGTTTAAAGCCAGAATCTACTTAATGCTAGACCCTTGCAGGGTGCCCTACCTGTATCTCCTCTAACTGTATAGCCAGTACAAAGAATTAACCCCCAATAGCTCACAGGAAGAAGAGAGAATAACAAATTACATTGTATAAAGAGGGATTTCTGAGCCAATCGATGTTATTTCATTATAAACTGAGTGTTAGATGATAACGAAATTTTGTGAGCAGTTAAACAATGGCAGTGTAGTTCTTTAGAGCTATGTCTGCATATTGAGCTTTGAACCGTAAGGGTGAAATGGGGTGATGCCAAGGATTGTCTTTAAGATACCAATGGGAATGGTAGAGAAAGAATCTATGAAAAGCTACTCTTTAAGAACAATGAGAACAACGAATATGTTAAAATGAACTCCAGAATTCAGGAAATTAACCAAAGGCAATGTGGGAAGTTTTACTCAAGAAAACCACCTGAATATCAGTGAGAACAGCCTGCTTTGTAGCGTTTCCACTTACCCTAATTTCATCTCCTTCTCCCAAACTTTGTGTTAGCCTTGACCACCAACAGTGCGGCAATCCCAGGGAAAACCAGCAGCCACTGGAGGGTGTAGAAAGGCTCTGAAGCTCCCTCAAAACACCATCTGCTGAGAATTGTCGTTATTTGACCTGACAGTTCTGTGTGGCATTTTTCTAGAAACCCCATTCACAATATTGCAGAATTTTGCTCCTTCAGCTAAAATTGGAATCTTGTCACCAGGAAAATCTGGGCATGCAGACACATTGAAGGGTGAGTACAGCAGGATTTTATTGGGTAAAAAGGAAAAAAGAAACCTCAGCAAAGCAAGATGGAGCCCTGTTCATAGGCCCCAACCCCACAGATCGATTGTCAGGTCAGTCACCACACAAGCTGAAGAGAGCAGGCTCCTCCCTTGTGTAAGGCACAAATTCACGGGGGCTCCACCCCCCTTGCCCCCAGTGCGCATGTCCGACTCCAGTCTTTGTGGGCATGCCCAGACAAGCCCTGGACAGGTTCCCTCACAAAAGCATGTGATATAAACACTTGTGGGCGAGGCGAACGTTCTCAAGGGACCCCTTTTTTATCTGCCTAGGCATTTAGCTGTCTTATTCCACCCCGCAAAGAAGGACATCTAACTGCTGTTAGGATAAGGATAAGGATGAAGATCCGGCTTTACTGCTTCCTGCTGACAGGAAGTGCTGTTTTGGGGAAATGGCAGTCAAATTTCCCTCAGAGGCCTACCTAAGGCTCCCTGGCAAAAGGGGCCATCCTCCGAGGCTCCTTTGCATGACCATTTGGAATTTGATGGCCCAAAGGCTAGAAGAGACAAACTGGGTTATTGGAAAAACATATCAAAACAAAGGAAGGCCGTGGGTAAGGACAGCTCAAAAATGCCGAGGCCTTCTACCAGTTTGCACAGGGAGAAAGAGGCCAAAAGCTCCACTGGTAAAAGACCTTTTACCCTTTTGCCAGCATGGCAGGCTTCTGGGTTCCCGTCCCCTAAGCCCAATCCTAAGCCAAACAGTCTAAGGTTTGGGAAATTAATTCTTCCCAGTTTGGAGGATGCATTTGAGGAGAGTGTCCCATAGTATGGAGACATAATTGCCTATTAGTGAAGAGAGGACAGGAGGAAAAAAGAAAAAAGATGTTTCCACACCTTATAATCTTTTTCTAAAGACTTACCTTACTGTTCTTGCACACGTCTCATGTAAATCTATTTCCAGTAGTTTCAATTACATGTTATAATGGTAACTCCTAGCAATTTG